AATTTGAAGCACAATCTAGAGTTCTTCAGGAAAAATTCGGTATTTTTTGTAGAGCGTTGTGCTGCCTATCTTTCCTAATTTAGCCGTTCTCGCTCATCTTTTTTTCATTGGGTTTTTCTGGCGAATTCTTTCATTACACATCAATACTATATCGCTTGTATTGTTTCATGTTAGTAAGTTTTTAGGCCATAAACGACAATGTGCTGGCTATGTGTCACGAATTTGATGTCGCCAAATGCGTTTCTTGCCTATCAACGTGTATTTTCCCCGATAAAACTACTTATCCCATAGATGAAACGATGGTGAGAAATTTTATTTTTTGCATTACCTTCTTATGCACTGATATTACATAATTTTAGGTTCATCTGGGTCCTCCTCATTTCTCCAACTTTGGGTATTCTTATGCTAAGAGAATGATTGACGTTTTGAACAGGGCATATGCACAGGATTATGGTCGGAAGTACGTTGTCTACTTCTTCATTCAAGCTGCGGCTGTTTTTATAATGTTCCATTTTAGATTCACATCAGTCGTTCCCTGTAACGTTTTTGGACCTCACGACAATTACAATCTCCAGTCTAGTCACGTTATCCCCGCTCTTATTCACAAGACTTACATTGCCAAAAAGGAAGGGAAACCGCTAGAGGTAGAAGCTTGTTTGTTTATACCTTGGAAGTAATCTGCTTTTTGAGGTCTTTGGAACGGGTCGTCCCCTTCGTCAGTTCATATACTCGCTTGATTTAGCACGGCTTTTCGTCTGGGTACTTCGCAGTTACGACGTAAGTATCATGTTTTGTTTACCTCCTTCTGCCCTATATCATCTTCGTTTCTTTACGTTTTAATGTGTCTCATCTTAGGAAGTAGAACCAATCATTCTTTCGGTATCTGAGGAAGACGAAGTTTCCATAGCCGATGCTGTGGAAGCAATCGTGAAAGCCTTTGATTTCCAGGTAACTTTCTTTTGTCCTTTTTGATTTTGCCAATCTAATAATCCAGACAGCAACGCTGCGCTCAGAATTGCTCGTGTGCCGGAAGTGTGCCAATGCACCCATGTGCGCACGTTGCCCAGTTCTGATCTTTCTGGGCGCAGAA